TTGCACCTACATTTTTTCCTCTCTGGTCCTTACTTATGCTCTGATTCTTAACATATGGCCCAATCAACCAAACGAGTTGTCATTGAGTCAGCTCAACTCATGGCAACCCTATGTGTGTCAGAGTAGAACTTTGGTCTGTAGGGTTTTCAATAGATGATTTTTCAAAGTAGATTACCAGGCCTTTCTTCCAAGGTGCCTTTGGGTAGACTTGAACCTCCAACTTTTGGGTTAGTAGCCAAGGATGTGAATCATTTGTACCACCCAAAGACTCTAAATATGAGCAAGAGATATCTATTCATCTATAAGCCTGCTATGCCAAATTTTTATTAATACTGGAAGTATCATTTTCTGAGGATACTCATGTATCCTATAAGAGCAGGAAGCAGGAGCAACATGCAATAGCTTGTAGGAAGTACTACCTGACAATGACCTCTAATCCTTGACCATAGATCAACAGAGCTGTGGTCACTGTCTAACCTTCCAACTTTCATAATTACTCTTTGGTGTGATTATGAGTCCTGGACCAACTGGGATGACCACAACTATCTCTGACAGGAGTGTAGTTTGATATCTTACAAGCTAAACCAAATAATGAATTGTTAAAAAGGATTATCAGTCCCAGGGCTTGGCAAACAGCCAGTGACCCAACACAAAAGTAATGCTCTTTCCTTGAGAACTCTCATGAAAGAGTTAAGCGAGTTCCTTGGGAGCAAGGACATGGTTGCACTCATCTTTGTGCTCCTAAGGGTACCTTGAAAGTACCAAAAAAGATGTAGTCCTTCCTTCCTTCTTGGGAATTTCACAAGTAAACAGATATATGCAACAGTGGGATTGTCAAACAGCTATTTGAGCTAGACTGAAATGGAAAGATACCAAGTTGAATTTAGATGGAGTGGAGGAGGAAAAGAAGAGGGAGAGGGAAATAAAAAGATGAAGAGAAATTTTATTCCTTCCTTCCTTCATTCATTTATTAAACAAAATGCAAGCCAGACAACAAGAGATGAAGGCTCTTGGGAACACACAGGCTACTTCATCCATCAAGACAAGGGCAGTAAAGGCATAAGAACCAAAAGCAGGGCGATAATAAAAGCCACCTTCTGCCCATAAGGCCAGGCCTTTCAGCAATAGTTGTGGCCATCAGTCAGTGACAGGCTCTAATGGGTCCTAAGGAAAGGCACTAAGGGACTCAGGTGGGCTTTGGTGGCACAATGTGCCCATAGGCAATATGACCACACAGTTGGCCTGTGGCGACACGTATGTGCAAGTGTGCCACAATGTCCATTCTGCCATCTTCCATACTGGCCATAGGCATGACACAATCTATCCTCCCTCCACTCAGATGTTAAATATGGTTCTGTTCCAAGGATTCAAGGCCTAGAAGTGTGTCTGAGGGAAGCAACTCCAGGTACAAAGGAGGTGGAGCTACTCTTGTGAGGAACTGACCTCTAATATGTCACAATCCAACAAGCAGCCAACTAAGGGTCAGTTCCATTTCCCAGAGCTGAACCCTGGAGGGTAGGGGCCTAGGAAGAGAGAGCAGATTTAATGATGAGGGTCCATAATTAACCAAAAGCAGTCCTGTGAGCTATTGGGGATCTTTGATTGAAGACTGGCAAGATGACCTTTAGTAAGATTCCTCATATTGCCAACTGCTAGCACAATGCTAGATCACTGATGTTCATTAAAATTTGGCAAGGGAGTGAGTGAAAAAAAAGTATGATAGATGGTTGGAGACATTTTTCTTTCTCTTTTCCTGAGATCAGGGTTCCACTATGGGCATCACTACCCACCCACGAGGCTCAAAAATAATGCACTAATATAGTACATCATGTTTTTCAAAGCTGATTTTTTTTTCACATTTTTTTATTTTATTGTGATTTGGGTGAAGATTTACAGAGCAAATTCACTTTGCATATAGCAGTTCACATATACTTTGTCTCATGTAAAGCTGATTTGTTTTTGAGTTTAATCTTCAGATGAATTCTATACAGTAGAATAGTCAGATATTAACACACCCATGTGTTTAGATGAGGAAACTGAAACATGAAGAAGTTAAGGACTGAGCAAGGCCATACGGGGTCGCTATGAGTTGGAACCAACTTGACAGCAGTGAGTTTGGTTCTCGTTTGGCTTATACAGTACATTAATGGCACAGGCAGTGTTACGGTCTACACATCTTTGGCTTTATGATAGAAAGCAGGCTCTGAGGTGTCCACCAGACTCCTTTTCCATTATCACTCAGAAGGCTGCTTCCTTATGTCCAGGCCCTGGCAGGAAGGGACCAACTGGCACCTGGGACACATGGTCCAGGCTTTAGAGGGCCCACCCTGCAGGAAGCATGAGCTGCAGGCCAGAGGACAGGCAGACTGGGCAGCAGGACCGAGTGCCAGCGATGCTGCTTGGCTGGTTCCCTGAGCTGGGGAGCAGCCTGCCGGGAAGTCAAGTGGGCCACCCGTGCCGGGCCAAACAGGCAATTAGCACCCACAGAAATCCCGCTGCCCAGCAATTACTCAGGGCAGTGCAACTCCACGCCTGCTGGTTCCTGGGGCAGAGGGCAGGGGAGTCAGGAGCCTGTCTTTACAGAGAACCCAGGAGTCCCCAGGCTGGAGGAACAGTACTGCCCAGATTCCCGTGGATTCTAACTCCCTCTGCTTTCATAGCCAGGCACGTTCTTCTGTTCAGGCAGGAGCCAGGCAGGTCTCAGTGTCCTTGTTCTGGATTTGATTTGCTCTTTTTCTTGCCTTATGGCTAGAACTCTGTCTGCAAGTCTACGTACCTCCAGTCTAGACTATTATGTTGTTTTTGTATACCATCAGGACGATTCTGACTCAGAGACTATTATACCAAAGCTCTTTTGGTCTGTCTTCTTTTAGGCATCAATCTCTCTCTCTCTCTCTCTCTCCAGAATGTTATTTTCTCCTGTTCCCCATCCCATCCTATAATCCATCACATCCTCATCCTTTCTCCTTGGCTTTGGATGAAAACATCTTTCTGCTCTTTCAAATGCCTTTCCCACTCTATTTGCTCTCATAATACTGGGCTCACAGGAGAAGAGACTAGAGGTTGCTGGCAGAGGCCAAAGAGGAATGCTGGTACATTCCTGGCCTTGTATACCATGAGGTTGACTCTCAGACCTGGGGACAAGTGAGCCACGGGTGAAGAGATAGGCACAGATCAGGTTTGGGGGTCCAGCAAGGGGTGCAGTTTCCATTGTTCTAAGGAACATTTTTAATTGGATGGGAAAGTGAGCTCTGAGTCCAAGTTCTCAGGCTCTCCAAGCATACATCTATCTCCAGGTTAGGAGGCTGTGATCATCAACAGGGGAGTGATTCATTCCAGAAGGATAGACACAGGGGTTAGTGGAGGGGCTGTGGGTCCAAGGAGCCAACCCAGAGACTTTAAGAAAGCAACCTCTGAGAAGATCAGAAGGCACAGCTGGAGCTGAGGGGAGAGGAAGAAGATACCCTAAGTCCCTGTTGCTCCTAGTGGCTGTGAGAGCCAGCATATAGCATGACTGTGGTAAGGAAGGGGACAGGGAAAATGCAGGGTTCTTTTCAAGGGAAATGTTTGCTTCCTCTCCTTCCACTTGCCAGTGAGGAGAGTATAGGAGGAGGACTCACCTGAAGAAACCTTTGCAGCCTTCACAGGTCATAGCATTGAAGTGAAAGCCTGTGGCTCGATCTCCACACACCCCACAGATCCGGGGCACATTCTGATCAAAGTCACCAGGGTCAGGCAAGGAAGTGCTGGCTGCCATCGCCTCCATCCCTGCAAGAACATCAGAGCCAGAGTTAGGGCCAGGACCAGCTGGCACCCTTCACAGCACCCACCGCCCACCATCTGTCACAGCTTAGTGAACTGGGCAGCTCCCAGGGCCCACACCCAAGTATGAGGTCTTTGGAGGCTTCCTCTGCATGGCTGCCCCTGCCCCTGCTCACCCTGTGGCACTTTCTGGCACTCTGATGCCCATAAGCAGAAGTGCAGCTCCCTGCCCAAGTGTGCAGTGAGTCAGAGGCCTCCCTGAGGTGAAGTATCTCAGTGCGTGACTCTGGACTCCAACTGTGTGGGTTCAAATGCTTGCTCTGTCACTTACTAGCCAGGCCACATTGGGTGAGCTGTTAAGCCTCCATGTGCACCATGGTCCTCATCTGAAGGATGGGACTTTACCTCATAGGGTGTGGTGGTGTTGTTAGGTGCCATCAAGTTGGTTCCAACTCATAGCAACCATATGTCCAACAGAATAAAACACTGTCCAGTCCATCAGACAATGTTTCACTGCTATTCATAAGGTTTTCAGTAGCCAATTTTTTCAGAAGTGGACCACCAAATCCTTCTTCCTAGTCTGTCTTAGTCTGTAAACTCTGCTGAAACATGTCTACCACAGGTGACCCTGCTGTTATTTTAAACACCAGTGGCACAGTTTCCAGCATCACGGCAACATGCAAGCCACCGCAGGACAACAAACTGACAGATGAGTGGTGTGAATAAGGATTATATGAATGAAATCTCTTTAACACTGGCACCTGTTCCACCTCAGATACCAGGTCAGAGCTCTCTATCTCATCCAGTATTTCTCCCTAGAGAAAAGGAGGAATCCTCTACCAGCCTCAACACCTCACATGCAGGGAAGGAGCCTCATTCCTCTTTTCTTGAGAGGGAGGATGAGCAGAGGACTCGTATGGTTGCCCAGAGCCCCTGTGGTTGCAGCCCCTGCCTCTCTCCAGTCACACAGCTCAGGACCAACAGGGTCTTATATTCCTGGTGTCCTGGGACCAAGGTCAGGAATAGCTCTCCTTTTTTTTTTTTTTTTTGTTGGAATATATATGTTCTGGTTACCTAGTGCCACTCTGACAAGAATATACCGCAAATGGGATGGCCTTAACAAACAGGAGTTTATTCTCTTACATTTTGGAGGTTTTAAGTCCAAATTCAAAGTGCCAGGCTCTAGGGGCTGGGTGAAAGCCCCTTAGCCTTGGGCTTCAGCTCTGTTTCCAGCTCCCGGCCCACTGAAGCTAGAGGCTTTTCTTCACTCAGACAGCTGCTGGCTGCTGAGGCTGACAAGCCCAAGGTTGACAAGTAAAAAGGCACAGTCCTGATATTACCAAATCACATGGCAGGCCATTAATTTAAGTCCACTAAAAGTCCCAAGGTCGGCAGAGCATGGCAGGCTGCTGAACAATGACACAGCTACAAGCAGGGTTCAAGGTGCCATAAGCTAGAGACCATTCCCCAAGGCTTCTGCTTATATACAGGAAGCAGACCACATTCCCTAAGGCAGCTAGCTACTCAGCTGCTCACAGTAGATACCACCATGAAGTTGACTACCAGTCTCATCATGGGGAATACTACATCCACATGTCCAGTCACTCGACCAGACCCAGCCAAGTTGACACACAAACATAACCACCACAATACACTTAACAAATTCATTTAAAAGTCTTTCTGAGTAATAAACATCATACCCAATTAATTAATTTTGTTTTCAGAGACTCTGGATAGTTTTTATAAATTAGCATTATCATCTAGAGATTGATTCACATTTCAGGAAAAGGAAAAAGAAAGAGAACAAAATGTAACAGCGCTGCAAAGCCCTTCTCAGGAAGCTCCTGGCTAGTCTCTCCCCATCTCCATTAGGAAAATTGAGTCCTTGGCTTTCCTGGGACCTCTGATCCTGACTGCCCTCAATCTCAGAGCTGCTCCGGGGACACCTCAGGACTCCTGAAGATGGTTTTGGACCCTGCTGCCTCCTATTTTTATCTAAGTCTTTACAAGGGTCATTAAGGAGCTCTGGTAGCACAGTGCCTAAGGCATCTGACTGCTAACCAGGTCAGTGATTCAAACCCACCAGTCCTTCTGCAGAAGCAAAACTGGGCAATCTACTTCCATAAAAATGTACTGCCTCGGAAACCCAATGGGAGTTGCTATGAGTCAGAATTGATTCGATGGCAGTGGGTTTTTTTTTTTTTTTTTTCCCACAAGGGTTATTATAGGTTTAAGTGGTCCCAGGGCAGAATGGTCCCTTGGGCCAGAAGAAGAATAAGGGAGAAAGCTAGGAAGGAGGGGGCAAGTATCCCCACCTCACCCCAGGGTACCAATTCCTCCCACCCCTAGGTGAGAAGCACAGATTCTGGACCCTTGGGAGGCTCCGAGTTACTTTACTATGACTAGTCCCTTGATCTCCAAGCCATGGTTTAAAATCTCTAAGCCATTGATTCATTTCATCTTTGTATCATCCCTATGAGATAGGTGTTATGATTATCCCCCTTTTACAAATGATGCCACAAAGGCCCAAATCTGAAAGAATCTCTAGCAGTGACAACAGATATTGCACAATGTACAACACTAATATTCTTTTTTTTTTTTTTTTAATAATCCACAAAGAGCTTCATGCAAAGGGAAGGAAGGGGGGCAGATAAATAAGGATAGGACATCTCCAGTCCCAAATTAGTTGTTGTTGTTGTTGTGTGCCGTCGAGTTGGACCCGACTCATAGCGACCCCTCCTCGGGTTTCTGAGGCAGTATCACTACGGAAGTGGATTGCCCCATCTTCCTTCTGACCCAAATTAGTAGAGGAATCCAATTACAGACAGAGGAGAATTTTTATGTAATAGTGGCAATGCTGTCTGTCACTTTCACAGCTAGATTTATGCTTGCTTACTAAACTATAAAGTTTTGGGAAGTATATATATATATATATATATATATATATATATATATATATACACACACATAGGAGCTCTGGTGACACAGTGACTAAGGCATTTGAATGCTAACCAGAAAGCTGGTGGTTCAAACCCACCAGCCCCTCCTCAGAAGGAAGATTGGGCAATCTACTTCCGTAGTGATACCGCCTCAGAAACCTAAGGATGGGACGCTATGAGTCAGGTCTGACTCGACGGCAGTGAGTTTGATTTTGGAGTTTTTATATAAAGAGACACTCTTGAAATAAAAAACAAAGGAATGGTTAGCACAATCTTTGTGGGGATGAGCCTGGGGAGGAGCATGCAGAGAGGTGTTATGTTAGCAGCAATATTCCATTTCTTTGAGTGGTAGGTATATGAAAGAAATTATTATTGCTAAGACACTATATTTATGTTTTATATGCTTTCTGTATATTTGAAACATCATAATTTTAAAACACTTAAAAGTGAAAATAAAAAGGGGGGGTCTGTAGGTCTTTCAACATTGCCCCCATAGCCCATCCCAAGTGCAAAGTGATTCCTATGAGCTTCTAAAGCATCTATCCAAGACGTGGGCAGGAATCCCAGAGGCCCAATACAATCATTGGATGGTAGGAGAAATGGTGTAGGATGCTTGTGGCTTAACCTCTGGCTGGCTAAGATATTACAGTTCCCAGTCATCATAAGGTTGCTACACAGTCTGGGTCATCCAAGCTCCAAACATCTAGTGGGTTTGGTGGAAAAAAGAAACCAAATGTCAGTGGGGAGGAAAATAGGACAAATCAGTCCAATAAGTTTTCAGCATTTCGCAGACTCAATTGGAGATGTTACGATACGAGAGAGTTGGTACAGCACACCACCACAACATGGCAATGGTGCAGTCATGCAACAGGCGAGGAAGGCAATGTTCTGCATCAGGATGTCTCCTGGATGGGGGTGAGGGGTGGGAGTTGGAGAGGGGTAAGGGGTGGGAGGGGTTTTGTGGAGTGGGGCAGGGACTGGGCTTCACCAGACAGAAAGTCTGGGTCTGTCACCCAGCGGCCCACAGTGAACAGGACCATTTCAGGGAGTTGCAAGGAGATCCAGCCTTGCATGGGCTTATTAGCTGCTACCAAGGAGCTGGGCCTGGGACCAGAGTCCAGAGGTAGGAGAAGCAGCCCAGGAATTTGCGGCCTGAGAGTAGGAAGTTCCAGGAATGACAGGGCACAGATGGTGGAGGGCAGGAGGGAGAAAGCGGGGATGGGAGCTGGGTAGAAAGCATTAAGCAACCCCCTCCAGGGGACACAGCTGCTGGATGGCTTCCCAGAGTCCTGACCTGGGAGCCAGCAAGCCATTCTCTGATGCCTTCTCTGAGCTCCCACTTCTCTTGGTATGGCTCCCGTTCTCAACTGTGGGCTGCTGCCAGTTCTGCTGACATGGGACCCGCATTTGCAAAGCTCCGGGTACTGTTCTCTTCCTTCCCCAGCCCACTGCCTTCCTATCTTCCTATGACCCTCCCTTCAATCCTGGACACACAGAGTTGTGGTGGGTGAGGAAATATCTACCTGAAGGAGTAGGGGGTAGGGACGTCAGGCTCAGAGGACCCTTCTACGAGGTCGCACAGATGCTTCAATCAAAATGAGTCTGGAATGAAAAAGGGAAAAGTGTTATTTGAAGCAAAGTCCTGGTCCCATAATCAGTCCTCTAGGGCTCTTTCCAGGGACTAAGAACCCCAGACTAGGGACTAAAAACTTGATAGGAGTGATTAATTGGGGGCAGGAATGCCATGTTACCTCTAGCAGGAGTGAGGAGAGTGGGAGCCCAGCTACTGCCAGGTGTGGCCCTCCCTTGAGGCAGAAGCAGCAAGAAGCACTGGGAGGGGCTGTGGAAACAGTCCTCTTGTCACAGCAGAGGGTCTCGGGAGGAAGAAGGGCATCTTCCTAAGGTAGATCTGATGATCCCACTGCCCCCACCCCCACAGTTTAGAGGTGCAGGGAGAAGCAGAGCCTGGCCAGCTACTGTGGGTAGAAGGAGATTGCACCCTCCTCTGAGGCAGGAGAGCCTCAAAGGCTCGGAGGAGCTAGGGATGGGATGGCTGAGATGGCAG